GAAAAACCTCTGGGCTAGTCAGGTGTAATCTAAACCAAATCCCTTATGAATACACAGTGGAAGTGAAGAACAGATTTAAGGAACCGATTTGGTGGACAGAGTGCCTGAAGAACTTTGGATAGAGGCTCGTAACATTGTCCAGGAGGCAGCAACAAAAACCATCCCAAAGAAAAGGAAATGCAAGAAAGCAAAGTGCCTGTCCAATGAGGCCTTACAAATAGCAGATAAGAGAAGGGAAACAAAATGCAAGGGATATAGGGAAAGTTACAGAAAATTGAATGCAGACTTCCAAAAAATAGCAAGGAGAGACAAGAGGGCCTTCTTAAATGAACAATGCAAAGAAAAAGAGGAAAATAATAGAAAAGGAAAAAATAGAGATCTATTCAGGAAAAATGGAGACATTAAAGGAGCATTTTGTGCAAAGATGGACATGATCAAGGACAAAAATGGGAGGGACCTCACAGAAGCAGAAGAAAATGAGACAAACTGCCTCTTTTTCCTCTTAAGTTTGTGTAATTTCCCAGAAATGTCTCAAGTGTATTTTCTTTTTGAGAATAAAGCAGAACATGCATAGCAAGAAGAGGACTGACTAATTGCTGAGAAAGGCACAACCAACCTATCCAGTGCTTCAAAGTCTTAAACAAAGCAGCAGTCATCCTGAAAAATGTTAAATTTGTGCAACAAAATAACAGGTTGCTTATCACTAACTGTGGCTCTTTCAGTGGTCATCTGTGAATTCACACCTATGGATTTTCCTGCACCTATGTAAAACATTCTAGAACCTTTTAGATCTGATTATCATGTTACAATTAAGCACCTGTTCCCTTCAACTACACTATAGCATACTGGGATAGAGGAAAGGAGGGTAGACTATGTGAGTTCACAGATGGCCAAAGCTACAAAGAACCACGATGAGTAACCTGTTCTTCTCTGTGGCCTCTATGACCCACACACAGAAAATTAGGAAGCATGTCTTTGAGGAGAAGTGGATGTCATAAGAAAATCTAAGACAGCATGGCTCTGCCAAAATTTACATATTGATGTGATCTTGCATCCAATCTGTAATGTATCACAAATGTATCTGGCTGTGACCATACAGCTGTTTTGCATATGTTGGGTATATTTGCATATGCCATACTGTATACAGTGGTGCCCCGCTATGCGAAAACATATATTGTAAAAGGGCAATTGTTGCTGTAGTGGCTAGAGCTGAATAATCCCTAACCTCCTATAGGACAGGTAGTCATGCCAGCTCATAAGATAACTTCATATCTGATGCCACCTCTTTAGGCAGCTACAGTGATGAGACTGGTTGGCCCTTTTTGGAGGTACCGTAGCAAGCAAAAAGACACTCAGTTTGGCAGAATGAGTTCTGGATGGGTAGAAAGATAATGCAGAATTGGACATCAAGCATATATAAGCTCCATCTGAAATCAGATACAGAATTTGTGTAGAAGGTTGATGGAATTAAATCCTGTGAGAGATGGAATAATGACACCATTTTTAGCAAGAAGAAGAGGTCAAGCTGAAGTATAATGTGGTCTCTATGAAGATCTGCTGAATAGCTCAGTAGCTTAGGTATCAGGTTGAAAGTCCAATTCCCCACTGTGCCTCCTTGACAGGGGCTAGACTCAATGATTCATAGGTCCCTTTCAGCTCTGCAGTTCCAAGATGATGATGATTATTATTATAAAACTTCAGTAAGGTGAATCTATCCAAAATGCTCATAATTCACTTCCTCTTCTGCAGCCAAGAAAGCAAGTTTCATGTCTGAGACATAAATCCATGTTTGTTAGTGGCTCAGATGGTTTGACTGAGATCTTTGACAGAACAATTATAGGAGCAGATGTGGGGAAAGGAAAGTATTCTTAGGGCTTTTCAGACATTGCTTTACTTACAGATGAATGAACCACATGATACACAAACACAGACTGCCTCTGTTAAAGCATGTGCCAAGACTGCTGCCAAATAGACCTTGATGGATGATGTCAGGTTATTCTACTTTATATGTAAGAGGACTTCCAGTATATCAGGTCTTGTAGGGCAAGACAGATTGCATGCAGTTTTGTTTGGAAATGATTTGAATGCTTACTTTTTCTTCTCATATGACCTCTGACTACTGAGTTTTCAAGAAGCTTGGATTATTTCTAAAACATCCAGAAAGAATATCAGCATAGTTTTATTCTCCATGCTGTGGGAAGTGAATATCAGGGTTCTGAACTACACTGTTGTCAGGAGATCTGGTATGAAGAGAAGGAACAACCTTCCTCCAGAGATTCGCACGGCCCCTACGCTGGGTGTTTTTAAAACTCAATTAAAAACATGGTTATACATCCAGGCCTTCCCTCCAATCAATTCCTGAATCCTTTTCTAATTTTCCTATATTCCTTTTTATCTGCTGTGATTGTAATTATTATTTTACGTTTATGCACAATTTGTATTTTAATTGTATTTTATTCTTATTATATACTGGAAGCCGCCTAGTGTGGTCTTATAGTCCAGGTAGGTGAGATATAAATTAAATAAATAAATAAATAAATAAATAAATAAATAAATAAATAAATAAATAAATAAATAAATAAATAAATAAATAAATACAACAACAACAACAACAACAACAACAACAACAACAACAACAGCTGAGGTATCAAACACATTTTTTGCAACAAGATGCGGCAGTAAGGCTGGAAGAAGAAGAAGAAGAAGAAGAGGAAGAGGAAGAAGAAGAGGAAGAGGAAGAAGAAGAAGAAGAGGAAGAAGAAGAGGAAGAAGAAGAAGAAGATTGAGAAACTCCTGACTGGACAAAAGGAGTAGAAGTGCAAACCGTGATTGGCAGGCCACCATAGTGTTCCTAGAATGTGATCCACATTGTTCCATCTGAGCTTGACCAAAACATTTGGGGATAATGGAGGGGGTAGGGAAGTGTAATGTAGAACACGTTTTTGCCTAATATCATTGAAACTGATGCCTTACTAATTCTGGATACAGATACCACTCACCAATAGACACAAAACTCTTGCTTAAAGCATCAGCCTCTACATTATCCATAGCTGGTACATGGACCATCAGTGAACAAATGATTCTGTGAATGTACTAGCTTCCTAATTTCAGGACCAAGAGCATCAGAATGAGCCCTCCTCCACCTGCCTGTTGTCAATTGCCACTTGAAGGGTCTGGCCC